AGCCAGCATGCTGGCTAGGGAATTCTGGGAGTTGAAGTCCACACATCTTAAAGTTTCCAAGGTTGAGAAACACTGTACTAGCTTCTGGAAGCTTGAACATATACTAGAGAACAGAAACATCAGTACAAAACCACGTAGCTCAGTATAATTATTTTATACACCATATACAATTAAGACAGAACCAGACTGGCTGGAAATTCTGGAAGCCACAATCCTCACACAGCAGTTACCAATCCTTAGAAATTTTTCCCAAACCAGCTACTGTAACTCCATTGAGCAGAAACTTCAGTGATTAAATACTTCTGTGCACAGAGAACATGTGCTTCACCACTAAGTTATGGGGCCTACATTCCTTATTCCACTGAATTTTATTTTTTAAATTTCATTCCCTCTTGGTAACGCCAGATTGCACTGAAAAATACTTATTCTTCCTCAAATTCCCACTGACAATGCCATCTGTACATTTTGCAGAGCAAAAAGCAGCAGTATATCACCACCTTGTGGTCATATGAATTTTAGCAGAAAGTTTAAAAAATAAATTTTAAAAAGATGATGTGTTCCGTCAGTGCAAGGCAGGCACTGATTTTGTAAGCAAGTCAGTTAAAGTTACCTCAGCTTTTGTTCCCCTCATTTCTTTTCCTAGAATAGTGTTTTTTAAAGTGTGGGCCCTTCTCAGGGGTTCATGAAATCAAAATTATTTGCCAGATATTGAAGATATTTGCAAACATTTGACACAATGTCACTCTTCTTATTACTATTTTTTATTTGTTAAAGTGGGAAGTTGTTAAAACATATAGGGTTTTTTCATGAAAAATATTTCATTTATGTTAATATCTAATGGGTTTAATATTGTTATTTTTACATGATTCAATAAATAAATATTCCACAAATGCATTCATTTTAATTTTAATATGGTAAATATAACCCGTACAAACAAAAGGTTTTTTGGGGTCCTGTATAATTTTTAAAAGTGGGAAGGAGCTGAGAGCAAAAAGTTTAAGAAACACTGTCCTAGAGCAATCTTGGGAGCAGGATCCTAGTTTTTAGAACATTTGTGTATAAAAAATGATTATTCAAGAGATGCTGGACCCTAACTACTGTTGTTCCAACAATATTCCCATGAGTTTGCTTCAAGTCATTTCCCCAAAAAGAAATCCTATTCTATAATAAAAGAAATAGGGGAGATGAAAGATGGCATGTATTAGTATGAGTTTAATAGGCAGCCATCTGAATCACACAACTTGTCAATTAAGATAATTTGTTGGTTTTGACTATGTAATTATCTCAGTTAAAATAAAAAGGGATTTGAAAGAGCTGAAGTTTGGATGCTATATTAAGCAATTGATCAGAAATAATATCTGAGCTATTGATCACAGAGCAACTATGTATCTGTGACCAGTAACATTTATTTTAGAAAAACAAATTACCTCAAGGCATATGGCAATTTTATCCCATTCAGCTGGTGTCATATTTGAAGAATCTAGCAGAGGAGAAAGTTCCAGGATGGTGTAGATGATTCTTTTATTTTGGTTAGAAGAACTGTCATAAAAAGAACATTTTGTGAAATACGCTGTTTTAACAATGCTACTTTTCAGCTCACTATGAACAAAGGTATCAGGGTTATAGTTGATGAGAAAATCTACAAACAGAATTGCTTTCACACAAGGTGCTCCTAGCAACTTGTGAAGGGTTGACCTGATGCAGATGCAAGCCTCAACATCCAGAGTCATTCTGAAGTTGGGCAACATCTAAACTAAATAAATTAAATTAAATTAAATTAAATCAACCCTTCAATCATACCTCCCCCTGCCTGTCACTGTGGAAACCTATTTTCCCTCACTCTCAACCTCCTGAGGCTCCACTACTCTACATTGAACTGATACTCTACATGACTGATAGCGGCCACAGTCAACTACCTGCCCCCCGCCCCTGCCCCCCGCCACCGCCCCCCCCCACCACCCACACCGTCACACAACAGAAT